TTCAGCTATTGACCACAGATTCTTTAATTTTTCCTTATTTTTATGATAAGCAACATTTGGGTTACCATTATTGGGCATTAAGTTAGTACATTTTAGGCATTTTTTTAATGCATACAAGTTTTAACTACTGAGGCCTTACATGCAGGCATAAAATTTAGCCAAAGAGTGCTTTTAATAAAAGAAACAGCAAATCAAATCTGAGCATTTTACAATGCAACAAAGATCAATCATATCCAGATTTAAAAAAAAAAAAAAAAAAAAAGTTTATTTTTTTTTTTAAGAATTTTCTTTGTTAAATCTCCAATTGGAAGTAAATTTTCTCTAACAATCATAGTTCCCTCCCCTAACATTTTCCATTTTTATTAGATAACTGAATATTTACATTTTCATTAACTATTTAACAGTAATAACAAATTTGTTTTAATAGAATTTAAATTAACCTAAAAGAGGAGGGGAAAAAAAAAAGACTTACCTCTTCCATTTTCTTTAATTGTTGTCTGAAAAAAAATAAATAAATAAGTTACAGTTTTACATAAAATATAAAGAAATGACACTGCATCCCCTTAAAAGTATCAAATGGGCTAGGATACAGAAAAGTGTTTTTAAAGCAAAATTTTGACATTCTGCTATCCATACTTTAATAAAACATTAATAAATAAAATCTCTTAGCAAGCAGGAATCTGACAGTCCCTCAAATTGCTGCACAATTGAAGTCGTCTATGCTAATCTGTCTGCATCAAGAGTTAGAAGACTCACTGCACCGAGACTAAATGACCATTGTGCTGCCAGGAAACCACTGTTTAGATCAACAAATAAACGTAAACATCAAAACTGGACTGTTGATCAATGGAAACGAGTCCTCTGAACTGACAAATCCAAGTTTGAGATCTTCAGATCTCAGAGGTGAGTGCAAGACAATGAACTAGTGAACAAATGTATTGTGCCAACTGTAAAGCATGTGATGATCTAGTGTTGTTTTGCAGGCAATACAGTTGGCGATATTTAATATTGAATCAACATGGATATCAATCTAACCTATAGCGCCATGCTATTCAACCTGGGACATGGCTGATCTATAATAGATTTGTGTTTATGCAATATAACATCCCCCTAAGCTATGCAAAAAGCTATCTGCTGAAGAAAATAATTCAACTCATGGAAAGGTGACCCCAAACACCTGCCTGCAAGCCCATCAAATTAGTTTTGGATGAATTGGATGGCAAAGTCAAAAAGCGACACACAAGTAGTGCAGAAACCTTGCAGAAACTATTAAAAGAGGAATGGCAAAAACATTACAAGTGAATATTTGCTTTCATTGGTCGAAAGAATGTCAAGAGGATGTTCAGCAGTTATCAAGGCAAAGGGTGGATATTTTGATATTAACATTTTTCATATTTTTTTGTTTTGTTACAGAGTAAAACTATGTTTCATAATGATTGTAATTATACATTTAATAAAAATTTATCTAACAAACGAAGTTATTTCCTTCGTACAGGTTTTTTTTTTAAAATGTTAGGTGATCTTAAACTTTTGGAGGATATTGTGTGTGTGTGTGTATGTATATATATATATATATATATATATATAAAATAAACAGTTTTAAGGTGTGCTATATTTAAGGGATACGGTGTGCTATATTTATGGGATAAAGTGCTCAATATCAGAGAGAGCATATGCAAATATAAAAGTGATCATTGAAGTCAACACTCAGAGGCAACAGGCTCTTTCATACTAGACACAATCATCAATCATGGTCTGATGATTGCATCTAGCATGAAACAGCCTGTCACCAACACAGTCCACATCACTGGCCAGGCTTTCTTCCCTCCCTTCTAGAAATATTACAAGATTCTATTCCTTTCCAATGCTTGTTTTATTTGTGTTATAATTTCCCTGTATGGGACAAATTACTAATAAGTCATTATATATATTTTTTATGTAATTACTTGTATGATATAGTTGTATATAAAAACATTGAGAATAATGCACATTTGTCATTCATTTCCCCCTCCCCAGCTATTCCATAGCGTCCATTGTATTAAGGTGTTACTATATTACAAATAATATCAGGTACAGAATGGAGAAACATCAATTGGAAATATCCTTTCTTGCCAAGGATCCCCATTAATAGTATGCAGATAGTACATCGGGAATTGCCAATCCATACTCAAATATCCAACATTTTCCAAAGATGAGGCAAGCTGTCATAAGAGCCAACACTAAATTGGAAAATAATTAACTGATACTTACTCTTGTTTTTCTTTCATTTGTTCCTCTTTAAGTTTTCGTTTCTCTTCAGCTTTAGATTTTAAGTAATCTTCCCTGAAAAAAAAAAAAAAAAAAAAAATAAAATAAAAAAAAAAATAAAAAATAAATTTCTGCCATTTTTTTTTTTTTTAATTATTCGTTTAAACATTGTAATCTTCTCACCTCAATTTTACCAAGAAAGACGACAAGTCAAACATCCTCTGAAACTATTATTCACTGTTAATGATAGATTCTTTTAGTTTGTGTTTAACAGTTTCTCTACAATTTGTGATAATTGCTTAAATCTAACCAAAAAGGATTATTCCCCCTCCCGCCAATGTCTAATATCAGGAGTAGCTGCTATTCAGGGAATGAGTGTGAATAGTTGTGATGAAAAGCTTATCTTAAAGATAAAATAAGATTCCCAAGATGAAAATGGAGAAAGTAAAGAACATGTTTTGGCAAGATCTTTCACACCTGAGCAGTTTATTGATAAACACAGAATGACATTAAAGTGATAAAAAAAAATCTATCAGATGAATAAAAATCCATTACTTTCTTTAAAAAATATTGCTTTTTGTCTGGATATGAAGCTGTGCAGAAAAAGAGAGAGAGAGAGAGAAACAGAAAAAGAGAGAAGTTTTGCTTAAAGGCACAATTATGATCTTGCCTGACCAACTGGTTCTTTGTAGCTCAATTGGCTAGAGTGTGTCAGCTCTAACAGTAGCTTCCTCTGTCCAGAGGGACACGGGTTCAAACCCTGCTGTAGAACACAATTTTCTCTCAAATATTCAAGCTAGTAGACGAAAATAAATATACTGTTTAATAAATAAATGACATTTACTCAAATACAAGTAACCACTGAAAGTAACGTTTAAAGTGATCTTTATTTTCTAACTGGTTACAGACCTTTTGTACAAATTCAACTCTAAATAATTTTTCTGATTTACTTTTAAACTTCTCTATTTGTCATTTCCTTTGCTTTGTGTTATAAAATGGAAATTATAATTTTCCATCAGACACAACAGTTCATTATATTAACGGACACACCATGGGACTATATTAACTATTGTTGGTAAACTGATAGAAACATTTCGGTTAAAAGTGTGAAATATACAAGTTATCTATACCAGCATTTTTCAGACTTTTTTCCCTTTTTACTGGAGTCCACAGCAAAAACCACATTTGGCATTGTGACCTGTTATACCTACATGTAATAAATCAAAGAAACTATCCACTAGGTTCATTTATTTATCATCGACAATTTATATGTAATTTTCTTGTGATCTGCACATATTGGAATTACATATATCAAATCTGTAAGAATATAAAATTACTTAAAAATAATAAACAAAATATAGCCCATTTTTAAATTTCGCTGAAACAGTCAACTCCAATTAAACACAGCACATCATCTTACTACAGAAAGAATGCACCCATACTCAACTTCAACTCGAGTGAGGAAATTAACTTTTAGCCATGACTTCAGATACAAATGAATTCAACAATCTTAATGGCTTTCACTGGCCAAAGACAAATGCACTGCACATGTTCACAGCCAAGTTTTGGTGCGAGGTCTCTTTCTGAGAGAGAACCGATGTCACTCAGTTCGCAATGAGTTTGACAAACATGAACTCAAAGAAACCAGAATAAGTATATATATAATATATATATATAATATATATAGTATATATATAGTATATATATAATATATAATATATAATATATATATTATATATATATATATATATGAGCTAACCTCAATGAAAAACTAGCGATGATTAATGAGTGCCGTGCAACATTTAGTGTTGTTTATATTCTGCACTTTGCTTTCATTTGCATATTTTTTTTCTTTTTATCACAACCTATTTATCTTGTGACCCAGTTTGAAAAACTGGAATCTATACTATAACAACAAAAGCCTACATTCTTTTCAAGTAGCTTCCATAGAGACCCTAGTCAAAATTCTACAGGGGGACAAAATTATCTGTTCACTGACCTGGAATGTTTGATCAGCTCAGTATCACCATATTTGATATTTTCAGCCTTCAAAAAGTTGTCAAACTCTTCTTTCTTAACAAACACAGCAAATACAGAACCCTGAAAAAATACAAACAAAAAACATTGAAAATCTCAAAGCGTTGTGACCGTTTATGACATGAGTTTTTATGGCTAATCAATTGTTTTTTTTCTATTAGGAAAACAGCAGAGCATGCTTTTTCATCACCCTCTCCAGAGTTTTAAATTCAGAGTTTTCCTCCTTAGCTGCTGCTACCCAGCTATTCATAGTTCTAGGATGGGAGCAGAGAGAAAAGTTGTATTCCTGCCTCTCCCACAAGAAGGGATTCAAGGATTGAAAAACTGACTTCGGTATAATTTACAAAACGTGGATACTCTCTTACATTTTTTATGCAGAGAAATTTCTGAAGACTGTTTTAAAAGGTACTCGATTGAAATCAAAAAGAAAAAAATCATTACTCTTATGGTCAGTTACTCATTTAGTAGCATATCAAAACTATGGGTTATTTAATGCCAAAATATAAATGTTCTGTATGCAATTTTATTTTATTTTTGTAGGTAATGGTTTAGTGATACAAGTCTTACTAATTAACCCATAGCTGGGGAGATGGATTCATACCTTTCTCAAAGGTATTTTTGTGTAAGTGAATATAACAAATCCAATTGGAATTGGAACTTAGCTCTCCAATTAACAATTCCAAGCCATTATCCATTACACCACCTGCACATCCAAGCATACAGCACCTGGTATTCCCAAGTGGTCACCCACCTAGGTATTGACCAGGCTCAACATTGTTTAACTTTGGTGATCATACAAGAACCTGTGTTTCAACAAGTAACCGTAAACCCATTGCTCTTATGGGAAAGATGAATGCATATTGGTACTGTTACAGCAAGTTTTTTTTTTTTTTTTAAATTGGATTTGTGATGAGTTAATGAATTTTAACATTTCTTTCAAGAATGTTTCAAAGATGGAGAGAGTAAAACAAAATGCTTTGTAACAAAGAAAGACAAAAAAAAAAAAAAAAAAAAAAAAAAAAAAAGAAAAAAGATGCAACTTACCTTGAAATTTTTATCAAAATCTCTTCTCATAATCAAGTTTTCCATTGTGCCATGCTTGTCAAAGAATGCAAGTAATTCATCCAATGTGGATTCCTTGGAAAAACCTTTCTGTTAAATATATTGAGAGGCTCAAAAGATACCTTGTCCAAGTAATATATGTTTGGAAAAAAGTCAAAATAAACTGGCAAAAGCAGAGGCTATTTATGACATGAGGAAAAAAAAAAAACGAAACCCTCATATGACACATAACCTTTTTTAAATTCTAACCCTGTATTGGAAAAATTGGAGATAATTAACTTTAGTAAAAAAAATTTTAAAAAATCCTTGTTTAAAAAAATTTATAAACAACTTAAAATTTTTTTTTTCAAAAGTCACTATTAAGAAAATGGCTTTAATAAACTGCCATTTTATTGAGTTTGGGTCACAGATTGTGGATTGTTTCAATTCCCTGGAATTACTGTTTAAAAAATATCACTTGTGCCAGATATCAAATTATACAGTAACAAATCTTATCTGCTATCAAAGACTTCAGATATGTCTTGAAATGTGTGTTTATTTATACACACACTCCCTCAATATCCTGAAATCAATATTACCACTAACAGTCCACTTGTATAAGCCTCCACAATATACACATTATGCCACTTTAAAAATCATTTGTCACCCACAACTGATGTATGATGGCCTATAAGAATTGTGGGGAACTTTTGGCTAAAATTATTGCAAATCCCTAAGCAGAGACTAGCCAGAATTAAACCCAAATTTTTGAAAAGGATACATGTATCATTACAGTGAAATAATTACGAGTAATGTAAAATGCTTCAATATTTCTGTAGTGAATCTTATGACTATTGACATTGAATGGAATGATAAAGAAAGGCTACAAGAGAGTTTTGTGTAGTAATAAACTCATAATTGCAGTTTATTATTATGTAATTGTAATACTCAGTTCCATTTGTTTTGAAATAAATAACGTGTTCACTTGTATAAAAGGCAAAATTGTAAATTAAAGGTTAAAAATATAGACAGGAAAACCATAGGTCTGTTCAAGGAATTCTCAGCTGCGTTTAGTTAATTTATAAGTGTTTACATGGGATCGATTTTTTTTTTTTTTTAAATGTTCTAAGCTTGTTTTTCTTTCCCTTGTGGTTTGTTGCACCAGTGATATTATTTAGAGTCAAAGCAACGTTTGTGCCATCACATTTTGGCCATGGTGTCCGCAAGGCTTCTTCAAGTGTCTATCAATCTGGGTAACTTCAAAGTGAACCCTTTATTTCAGTTACATAAAATAAAAGGTTTAGTTTGAAATTCCCCGAAGGTTACTCTGCTCAGCAGAAACCTGAAGAATATTGGTGGCACAATTACCAAAATGGTATAACCAAAGATGAAAATATTAGTACAGCTCTAAATAATAATAATGGCTCCTCATCCCAGCAATTTCAGACATTAACAAAAATACTGATTGGACCAAGCATGAGTAACGGAACTTTCGCATACAGACATAAAAATTACTGGTTTTCTGCAATTTGCAGAGATTGACAACTTGTACCCATGTTATATATTTTTTTATTTAAACTAGATTTAACTAGAGCATAAAAACTTTTTTGTTTGAAGTGAAAATGTAGAATCTATACTTACCACATACATAGTTCTACTGTTAAGATCATCACGTCTTTCTCGGGTGTTCTCAGGCAATGGTTTCAAAGGAGAACGACGGATTTTTGTAGAGGTTTCATTAACCTGGTGTCAAGAAAGAAAAAGTATAAATCAATGCTAATTACACATTTAACATCGAACTGCATAAATATATCCAACATTGAACAGATTTGGCTTTGGGACATTCACAAATTTGAAGAACTGAAAACATTCTTACATTTATATCACCAAGACACTTTTTTTTTTTTTTTTTTTTTTTTTTTAAGCGTTTCATCCCAAGGAAGGTGGGAAGCCACTAGCACGCAAGGGGTTACAGAGAATTGGAGTCCAAATAGGAGTGATAGAAGAAAGGATGAAGAGAAGGGTAGGGGATAGTTCAAGGCATATGGAGACATCGATTGACATTACATTTGAATAGTTGGAAATTATAGCTATCAGGGGAACAGGAAAAGGGGAGGGAGTTCCACAGGCGAGAGGTGCGAGACAAAGTTATTGGCGTAGAAGAGATGGCTACATTTAACAGTTTCAACAGGGAACAGATGTGAGCGAGATGCCAGCCTAGTAGAACGCTTAAATTCATGGGAACCAGCTAAACGGGCAGCTCATCGGAGTAGTTACCATGAAAGCATTTGTAAAAAAGACAGCGAGAGGCGACGGCATGTGTGAGAGAGCAACTGCAGACAAGATGCCAGAACATGGCCAATTATATTGCATATCTGTCTCTGGATCTTATCAAGAACCTTGAGACAAACAGAAGGAACACTGGACCATATATGGCAGCATTTGTTAACTTGATACAAAAATATACAGGATCAGCCTGAAGTGCCTACCCAATCCTGTGCAATCATAAAATGGGGATCAATACCCCCCTCCCGTTTATAAAAGCAGCACATGTAAACACTAATTTTGAGAAGTTTCATTATCATTTCCAGAGATTTGAAAACAAATCTGAATAGACTCCATTGTTTTCTTGCCAAAAGAAACTGTAAAGTAATTTTCCTGTCTTCAACCACATTTTATATATATATATATATATATATATATATATATATATATGTGTGTGTGTGTGAGAGAGAAAAGCAAAGAAGAAGTCAGAAAATTCTTGAAAGACCTCACCTCCATTAATCCAGACTTTGATTTCTTAATCGCTTCACAAATCACTTTGTTATCATCACTGAGTATCTTGAGGCGGTTGAATTTAAGCATTATTTCCATTGCAACCCCTTTTAGACTCAAGTTAAGGAACTTCAACTTTACAATACATTAGCAAAAATGACAAAACTTCTGGTGACATGCATGGCTGAAAAGAAACAAAACCATCACATCACTGACATATCAGGTGTGCATAGTTCTCAGGATGAAACAAAAGCAGTGGATATTAAAAATGAAAAATATTCCTCCACAAATCGATTTTTTGCCTTTTTGTGTTTGGAAATGTTAAAGGATTTGAAATAAGGAAAGAAATTGTTGCCTTATGACTTTTCTAATCAACACCAAAATAAAATTCTACAACAAACAAATGTTTAAAGTCTTAAGAAAAAGGATACATCCATCATCAGCTTTGATCTGTTCCTGCAAAAATTTGTCCCGAGCAAGGTTGACATCACCAAAATAATACTGAAAAATAAAAAGTTCAGTTGTATACATTAATCAGTTTCAACTAATGTCAACATCATGCTTGTTATTGATATATTAAGCATTTCTAACTCTCAAACTTCTTGAATAATATTCTGGGAATGAACTTTAACTAACACACAAGATGCGAGCATATGCTGGAATAGAGTAATTTATATAACATAGGCACAAACCAAATCATGCTCAATTGAAAGAATAAAATGTACTTTTGAGTATTTTTAAGATTTACACCTAAGGAAATGATTTTATTTTACATTTCCGGTCTTTTTGTAGTTAAACTATTTGACTTTTGAATGTGTTGACAAGGACATACACAAGTAAAATATATTCTTATTAAAAGCCATCCTGTTAAGCAGCATTTAAACTAGCTCTTGTGGAGGTGTTTTCACTGGATCTTCATTACAATAGGTAGGGAGGAGTAGATGCAATAGGCAACAAACTACATAAGAACTCAAAATTGATTGTTGCATTTAAGTATTGCATTAATATTTAAGCTTACCTTCTAAAAGTTCAATGATAATACTTCTGCTACCACTTAATTTAAAGGAAGTCTGATGCATGCAAGCCCTCACTTCCCGTGCAGACATTTATTTATTAGATGGGTGACTTTTGCTGGATTATGCAATTTCAATTACTCTCAAATTTATTCCCAAGTTATAAAAATTGTTATTGTACAAAAATTTTGCCACGCAAGGAAAAAAAAAACAATCACAGTAATGAAAACTTTGGGGCCCAAAATTTCAGGATTGCAGGCCAAGATTCCATCTGGAATGTTTTTAATTTGCTCACAGAGCCAGCATGATTCCAAAATGGCATGATATATTGGGCTACGACCTCCAGAGGCAAAGTTGAAAACACTGACAATTTTATTTTGAAACACTAATTTGAGAACAGTAATTTTTTTCATTTGAACATGAGCTATTGAAAGTTAGAGTTGTCTTCCTTTAATTGTTTTTAATCAGTAGAAGCCAAGATGGCAGAAATCCGAAAACAATCGCAATAATGAAAACTTGGGAACCCAAGATATCGTGATCACAGGTCTGAATCTGGCCCAGAATGTTTTTAATTTACTCACGGAGTCAGCCTGATTCCAAAATGGTATATGTTGGGCTACAGCCTCTAGGAGTAAAGTTGAAAAAGTGTGTCAGTGACACACTGACGTTTGCATTTATTATATAGATGTACATAGTAAAAAGCAATAGTTATACAAAATCTAACTAGGTTAAGTATCATTACGCCACATAACACCCACACACTTTTTTCTGGTACTGTTCACAAATCATAGACAGTTTCAGTTGCACATATTAAGAAAAGTTTTCCTGCAATATACATTAGATTGAATAATTAAGTCTTATCCATTGTCCAGTATGAATGATCTTATTTCATTACACCATTGCAATTCAATGACAAATTAGGTTAATTAGATTTTCACTGACAGCATCCAACTGTTGATATATTCATTTTAATCCTGGCAAATCT